ATATATATATATATATATATATATATATATATACATACATACATACATATACATACACACACACATACTACAGTTCACCTTTAAATAGTTTAATGTGTCTATTAATGAACATACCTCTTTCAATAAGCGTACACTAAAACTACATGCTTATAACATGTGCCTTCGGCAAATTTACTTCTTGCTAGGCACAATTTCAATTAGATCTTTACTTTAAAGGAAAACGGATTTAATTAAAAATGATGGTTCTTTCCTTATTTTCACTCCATAAATACCGCTTTAAGCACTTTAGTAATGCACTCTAAGGATTTATTCTCCAATGTTTAATAACGGTAAATCTATTTTAGATGCAGACAGATTTCTGTCGAACAAAGCTCCTGCAAAGTAAGCTTGGTATCCTTTCTTTTAATTGTATTATTACTTTCATCAAACTGTTATCACATATGGACCTTTCTCTCACCACGGTGGTAATACAATGTGTTTCAGTTCTGAATTAACTTTTTCATTGGGTTTAATAGAAAAGTCTAATCTCTACCTTTAATTAGGTCCTGTTAGTTTGCTATAAGAATCACTAATTGCAATGGTGGCCTGTAGAATTTGCATCATTGTCTGCATGAAATGCAGTAAATTGTTATACTGAACTCTCTGCATTGACTGAGTAGTACTGAGTAACCCTGTATTATGACCAACTGTGCAGCAAATCTTATAAGGTGTTTGCTGTTACTGTTACCACACTCCCCCACCACTGCAATTCCCTGTTGGAGTCTCATGAAAGTCTTATGCAACTAATGACTTTCTGAAAGTTGGTATAAGTATAGGGCTAAGCATGCCTCCCACGTAGCAATGACTGGGCCCAGTAACAGCTCTCTCTTTATCACCAAACTCTGAATTGTGGGAAGGAGATAGGCAATACCTAAAAATACCAGACTCGTGATGCAGAGAGCACAGTGAGGTAAGGCCTTATAATGCTTTACAGTCTATGTATTAGTTTGCTTCCTGTTGCCAAGTACAGCATGAAAATTAAATTGTGCGTGAAGCCAAAACTTTTTTTAACATTTATTTAAAGAAGGGAAGGATTAAAACCCCTGCCAGTTTATTTTTTGCTATCTGTGTCCCATTCTAAAGATTTTCTTTCACTTCCTAACCTGTTAACACAACAGGAAATGAGAGGACATCTCTACAAAGTGAGGGGAAGTCACCTCTTTCACAGCTGTCACCGAAACAGGTGTCCCCACTCTCACCTCCTGTTCTAGTGGCAACTGTAACATTTTGGATTTCCCTTACCTTCTGTGACAATGTCACCAGGACAAAAAAAGAGAGGGGTAGAGAAAATAATAAAAAAACTCAACAGAAGTTCTCACGTTTAATACAGGTGAATGGACTGCATTAGACTTGATAACGACAGCCAGATCCCAGAGCAGAAGAAGCTGCATGGACCGGTTTAGTAGAACTGAGGATCAGGTGAGTATATCTATTTTAGCCCCTAGAGAAAAACCAGCACTTAACCCCTTGCAGTGCAGGGGTAGCCCTACTGTAAGAGTTAACTTTTTACATTCCTGAAGTCTCTCTTTAAAACGATCAATAATATAGTCCAAATAACCCCGCTTGTCCACCTGTTCATATCTAAGCACATAGTAGCAGACCTCAAATCAGCCCTTACCTAAAGCTGGTCAGACACCAGTAGAATATTGTTCGAAAATGTTCAATTTGCAGAGCATTAGTTTGATTTTGTAATGGTTAGTGGGGGCCTAATCGATGTTTGTTTTCGACCCTTGTAGTGACAAAGAAAATGAAAGGAGCAGTATGGATTTTTTTTTCTAATTTCTTATCTAAATGAACTAAATTCTAAAATCTGAATGTGTTTTGTGTTTGGTAAAATCTTGCATATTGTAATGTGCATATGCTAGGCACAAAAGAAACATGTTTAATATGTCTGGAATTCCATTCAAGTAGAAGGGCCGGATGACATATTTAAGGGTTTTCCAATTAAATGAGTTGACTCAATGATGGCAAGAGCGAATGTTTTGACAAACTATTTCAAAGGAATATTCAAATCAACTTCTGAAAGTGTATGGCCAGCCTAATTTTCAGGTTCCTAGTATGCATTTCTTCCTGATTCTATTTACATTGGATTCCCAGTCAGTCGGTTGAGCAGTACTGCCCAGGCAGCCAATCTATGCATTGATTATAATGGACTGCTCAGTTTACTAAAATCTATTAATCTATGTCAGCCCATTATAGTAATAGACTTAAGGTGTGTCTATGCAGAACTGCTTAATCCAATGGCAAAGAATCCAATGTATACAAACCCAGGAGAAAATTAGGTATGGGCTAATCTGAGGTCTGATATTATGTATTTAGATAAGTCCCCAGAGGGCAAGCAGTAATGGGACAACTGAGACTAAACTGACTAAATAGTTTAGGGCCTGTTCACACCAGATGCAGTGCATTGGGGCCTGATTCTAGCCAGAACGCACTGCCTCGCATTGCGGCCAGCTCACTTTTCCGGTTGCAATGTGAACGGCCGCATGGGATTGCAAAGCACATTATGCCTATGGTCCGGTCCGGTGCGATCAAAATAGTGCTGGGAGCATTTTGATCGCGCCGGACCGCAGGCATAATGTGCCTTGCGATCCCGTGCAGCTGATCGCATTGTGGCCGGAGGGCGTGGCTAGGGTGCCATTCACTTCAATGGCCCGCCACGCCGCTTCCTGCCCCACAAAAAGTAAATGTCCTCCTGTGATCCAAAAAAGAAGTAAAGCCAAAAAAAGATTTGCATTTACTTCTCTTTACGAGTACCCTAAAGACTGCCAGTGTGCAAATTCACAAGACTATTTCCTAATTGAGCATTGTTACATTTGTTAAATCACAGATTTTTTGTGTAAACCTTTTTCATTTATTAGGTTAATGTAAATAGATATGTTTCTTATAAAATGTTTAGAGAAGGATCTAGCGTGTCACTTTTCAGTGCTATTAAACTGATGAGCTCTTATGTTTTAATAGCACAAATATGAGTTAGTTATCATACAAAGCTAAGCTCCTGTAACCCTCTAAAATGGAAACTTTTGGGAAAAATGCAGATATATTACGATAGCACATAACAGCTCCTGTGTATAACGGTAACTGTACAAATGTGTTCTGCTTTATGTTACAACAGTCCAAAGCCATCCTTAATGCTGCTAAACTGGAGTCAACCTACAATTATTGCTGTCAACTGTTTACATTGTGTCACTGGAAACTTTCTATTAAAGCAAGTATTTCCTGTAGAAGTGCGGGAATAAGCACTCTATAAAATACTCTAAAATTAGCTGAATTATAGGTTCATACATTTATGGGTGCTGTATATACATTTTTATTTACTACCACCAATAATGGCTTATTGCATACTGTATATTATTCATCAATATACTGATGGAAACCAGCTGTTATGTTGCCTAAGAAAATATGTCAAAGATGGAGGCAGCATGGCTAAGTCAGCCATTTTATAGATGTGAATTCTGAGTCATTCTTTCAACAATAGAATTTGTGTATAAAAACATTACATCTCCAGAGCAAAGGGAATTGAGCATAAGTGTCAAAGATGTATGTGGGAAAAATAAGCACAAATGGGCAGTTTATACATTGATACATCTATACAGAAGAACCTGCAGGTTCTTCTGTATCAATTTGAATAACTTACCCCTGCAATGGGGCTACCGCCACTCTCCAAGGGCTAAAGTGACACTAAATTCAGGAGTTATATCTTAAAAATGCATTTAAGTACCCTATCAACAAAAATGTATCTTATTTTGTATCACTCAGCTGTAGATCTTCAAATCATCTCTGAATTCATGCTGGCACTGTCCTTCCTTCTGGAGGGTGACTACTTTGTTCCTCATGGTCCCCGTGTATGTGTTGTAAAGTAGCCACCGCTCCAAACTCTGTCCCGTGATGCACTACAATCTCACGTTTAGGTTTCTAATTTGTTTTGCAGTGGCTACTTTACAACACACACAGGGACCTTGGGGAACAAAAGTAGCCACCCTCCAGAAGTAAGGACAGTTTCAGCATGAATTCAGAGATTAATTGAGGACCTACAGCTGAGTGATACATTTTTGTGGATAGTGAAGGAACTTGAATGCATTTTTAAGATTTAACTCCAGGGTTTAGTGTAATTGTAAGTGCTTGTTTTGTCTAGGGGGCTCAAATAAAGTGGATATACTCACCTGATCCTCAGTCCCGCCAGGCTGCTAGACCGGACATCCTAAACGTGAGGATGCCAACAGACATTTCACAGGTGGAGCTGAGGGGGAGAGAGGTGAGCGCTGACCGCCATGAGACCGAGGATCAGGTGAATATATCCACTTTATATGACTCTCCTAGACAAAATGAACACTTAACCCTTAAAGTGCAGGGGTAACCCCACTGCAAGGATACATTTTTTACATTCCTGGAGTTCTTCTTTAATTGTATATTTTAAATGCATTTTTTAAATGCACTGTAAGGTATTGAATTTGGTTTGGAATCAGCAACCCACTGTACAGCAGAACTAGGAATGGGAGAGTCAGCACACAAAACAACAAAGCTCATATGCTGATATGGAACTTTCTGATTTATTTTATTGTTATTACCTTATACCCTTTTGCAAACAAGTAGTGCAGTCTTTAGCTGTATGGAACAACTTGCTAGGTATACTTTCCTTAAGAGTGTATCTAATGTATTTAAACATTTTGACTTCCAAGATGGGAAAATAATTGTGTGTATTCAGCACCTTTTCACATGCATGTTTACTACACTGTTAAATACTTCATTTGTATGTAGTCATTATGAGCAATATGCCTTCAAGGTATGCTTTTTCTGCTATCACTTAGTTTTACTGAATGGGACTAAATGGATTGTATACTCCAAGTACAAGTCAAGAGCTGAATTGTGCTTTATCTCCTGCTATAGATTATGGTGAAACCTAAAGGCAAAGAACATCACGAGCAGATAACTGAGCTGTAAAGCACAAGGTCTTTGTTAAGGAGTTAATTCACTCCAATCACGTTCAGTACATGGTAACTCAGGCTGAGTGCATTGGTGCCATTCTAAAATGTGCACTGCACCAAAACACAATGCATGGAGACGGCACTTTTTTTTGTGTTGAGGTGCATTGCAGGCCATTTTGTAGCCGACTGTGTTCCGATGTGAATGGGCCCTTAGAATGTTTTTACACAGCAAATCACAACACCAGGACAATGTTCAAAACACTTTTTGGAGAGAGAGACTAAAAGCCACTGCTACCTTTATGTGTATATAACGTTATTCAATAAGAATTTGTGTGATCCTAATATCTGTAGACTACATAATATTTTTAGTTTTGGATAGAGTAGGGAATGGTGAAAATCAATGTTAGGTTTTTCTTTGCCATTTGTGTCACATTGGTATGATATTCCTTCACTTCCTGTCCAATAGACACATCAGGAAATGAGATAAAACTTCTCTAAAGCAGGTGAAATCTCCTCTTAGACAGTTGTCAATAGCACCAGTGTCCCAAATGGAACATTTCCCCTCTATTCCTGCTCAAGTGACAACTCAACATTTTAAATGTTCCCTGAATTTGGACCCAGGCTCTCTGTTACAATGGTTACCAAGAACCAGGATAAAAAGTGATGGTGATTCTACCCAGTGGAGACAGACACAGCAATAAAAAAGAGAGTTGATAACCCTTAGCCACTCTATCCAAAATTAAAAAAAAATGTTTTGGCTTTAGATAAACTTATATGAGATGAATTATAATGAGAGAATAACACTAGATGGCTAGTGTGATATTAACACTGAACTGCCACTGCAACACCAATACTACTATCCAGTAAACCAACAGTGTGACGGTAACACTAATACTAAGCACTAAACCACCAATGTTACACAAAATAATGATTAAAAAAATGAATTATTTAAAACATGCACCAGATACACGAGACACCCATCAGTATAAGGCATTCATTAGTGATGTTAACAATGATTTACAATATATTTATATAGTGCTGCTGTTGTTTTAATCAGGGTGTTGATGTTAAGAGAACTTCACACTTTTAATACATCACCTCTTACCAAATAATGTTTTTCCTTTGAAAAAGATGAGAATATTACATTAATAACAGAGTCACACTATATGAAGAACATCGTAGAACTCAAGTACTTAAAAAAAAAAGGTTTGCCCACTTACCCGTAATAGTGAAGTCACCTAAAGCATATCAAAGACAAAAAAAAAGAGAAAAATACAATTAATGAGATAGGGTTATGTCTTACTTAACATACACTTTTAGTAAGAGGTTTTAGTCTTACTATAAAAATCCTAGTTGAACAGAATAATTAAGGTCCATATTCCTGTGTTCGCTGTCATCAATCTTAGCCAATTACGCCCAGACCTGTGATCTTAACTTCCCTTTGATCATGTTTAAGTATGAAAACAAATCAGGATAAGATATACCATGAGAGTTCATGAGAGTTTACCTAATGACTTGAAGCAGATCACAGCATATGATGTGACCAGCCAATCAATTATCACTTTGATTTTCTCTAGAAAGATCATGAGTGTTCCACATTGTACCTTCCGTGGTATGAGCACTCTTGAGCTTAATAAATCCTGGGCACAGGGAGTACAAGTGTCCACCAAATAGACAATTAACAATCGTTAACACATGGGTGACCTTTCTTAAAGTATTCTGCCATATACAATCATCAAAACAACAATAAGTACTTACTATAGACAACTGTTTTTGTGGTGGACACCTGTACACTGCTTTTATGGGTTACATTACATTAGGCCCAGAAAATTCAAGAACATCTCACAGGTTGGACTGGGCTTTGAAACAAGGATCAGAGAAAACAAAGTATTTATAACTTACACAACACACCTGCAGTACTTACCTTTCCCCTTTATAATACGCCAACGTTGATTTCCACTTTAACTAAACGGTTTCATTCCTACTGGCTTACCAAGCCAGGTTGGACAGTGTCATGCAGTTCTAGGTCCTAAACTTGAATCTGACACTGTTGGAATGGAAATGGAATTTGTATGTTCACCCAATGTGTATGAGGGTTTGCTTGAGGTGTTGTGTCTTCCCCCCCCCCAAAAAACCCAAAGTGGTAGGGACACTGAACTGTAAGCTTCTTCTGGGGGATTGCCAATGTTTCGGGGTCATGCAGGGTCCCTTATCAGGGTGACACAGTGATGTCACTGTGTCACCCTGATGAAGAGACCCAGCGTGACTCCAAAACATTGGCATTCTAACCTATATGACAATATCCTTGAATGAAGCAACTACTATTTTCACTTTAACTAATTGAGTGCTGGTAACCTATCTCTACACTGCCACTAACCTATCTCTACACTGCCACATCAAATACTTATTATTTTTCTCCCCTTCCATTGGTCTTCACTGTGCAATCCAGCTTGGCGCCGCACAACATTTATATAGCCTTTCCTTTTCTTAGTGCACATGTGTGCCATGGTCACATTCATTCCTATGAAGGAGCCATATTCCAAAGGACAGCTTTGTTATGGCTCACTCATAAGACTAAAATATGGTGCTTGTGTACAGCAACTAGAGAAGATGGCGGGGATGACCTGTGCCTCCAGGCAGGGCTACACAGTGAAGGTTAAAAGAATGGGGAGAAAGGTATGTATTTGGCACAGCAGGCTGCACTTAGGGGGGTAGGGGGAATGTTTTTAAAGGACAAGTTCTTATCCTTCATCCAATGGATCCATGGATACATAGAAAAAGACTGGACAGTGTACATATTATGTAATATTATGTGACCAAACATAACTATTCCAACTAATAAATAAGCAGTCCCACAAAACTGCGTTGTTTTTCAGTGACTTATCAACCACTTAGCAGCAGCACATATATCTATATCATTTTAATAAACTCATCTATGCTATGTCACATTTCCTAACCATCTGTTGCCTTATTTTGCAGTATAGAGATTCCTATCTGCGCTTTGAATTGTATTTATCTTTAAGCAGTTTCCTTTCCATATGGCTATCTCAACTTTTTTTCCTTGATTAAAAAATCAATTCCCCTCAATTTTCCATGGTCTCATCTATAATACACTAACACTATCACAGTTCTTTCTTCAGAAAATACCAAGGTAGCATCACTGATAATGCAATGGCCAGTGTAGCCGGAGAGTCTCAGAAATAAAACTCATTCTATTTATTCTACCTGTGTTTATTTGGCTATTTACTAGTCCTGCTGTGTCATATTATAAAGATCCTGTAAACGTACTTGCCAAAATGCATTCATGCAGTTCCATATGATGTGATGTAAATTGCATTGTTATTATCTAAAAAACCCTTGGGTGTACAGAAATTACATTCTTAATGTTGGAGCAGAGCATGCTGCACAGAGCATGATATAGTGTTATGAGGTCTGTGTGATTTGCAAATTACTTTACAGGCTGCACTATCTTTTTAAAAAGGCCAACATCACAAATCCTGTTTATCATTGCTGGCCTTGGGAATAACAGAAATGATCCTGCCTTGAACAGCAGCACCAAAAGAAAATTAAAGGGCATGTCTACATAAATCTAAATAATTTGTTTTGGCAAGCTGAAACTGCTCTCTCTTTTTAGGTATCTCAGGGGTGGAGCAAGACTTCTGGAATCTGAGTTCCAAGGTCCACCCGCCTGCTATGGCAATCCCTGTTGGATTTTTCATATGTGCTACAATATAGAATGTAGTAATTGGACTGACTACATGAAGTGGCAATTATTCAGACTCCATGGGGTTGATTTACTAAACACAAATAGGCTGTTCACTTTACAAGGGAATGTCTATTTTGCAAAAGAAGTTTCACTTAGCTTAGTTAATGTGGTGAAAATTCACTTTGCAAAGAATAACCAAATCATGTGCAAGGAAAATAAACAAAACAGTATTTTTACTTGCACATGATTGGATGATAGAAGTCACTCACTAAATGAAGGGGAAACTTCCCCTGCAAAGTGCAAATAACCTTTTTAAAGTGAATAGCCTATTTGCCTTTAGTAAATACCCCCATGACACAGCTTCTTAGTTCCCTGAGAGATAAAAGAAGCCAGATTGTAATTCTGACTCATCAATGCATCACTAAACCAAAATATTGGGTAGATTGACCCTTTACATCATTCACCATAGATCTTTTTGGGAAAGACTGACAGCTAGTTCAGGTGAATGATTCCTTCTCCTTAGATTTTAACCACTTGAAGACCGGGGTGTTTACACCCCCTTCCTGTCCAGGCCATTTTTCAGTATTCAGCGCTGCAGTACTTTGACTGGCATTTATTCAGTCATGCAATGCTGTAATGTAATTAACTTTATATAATTTTTTTATGGACCGATAGAGCTTTTTTTTTTAGTGGTATTTAATCACCACTGGAGTTTTTTATTTTTTACTATGTAATAAAAAAAGTACCAAAAATTTAGAGAAAAAAACTGTTTTTCTCTACGTTATGTTATCAAACAGTTATTATTACCCAAATTTTTGGTAAAATATAAAAGGGGGGTCACGTCGGGTAAATAGACACCAAACATGTCAAATTTTAAAGTTTTGTGCGCCCACGAAACCGCTAAAAACGACCATACCTAAAATTGGCCATAGGTGACGCTTTAAAAGCTGTTACCGCTCATTAGTTTAGTGTTAACAGTGAGTGATGGCCTTAGATTATTGCTCGCACTCCAACGTTCACTGTGATATGCAACGTGTTGTGTTATCGTTGTTTTCGCAGGTAGGCACACCTGATGCTGTAATGTAATTAACTTTATATAATTTTTTTATGGACCGATAGAGCTTTTTTTTTTAGTGGTATTTAATCACCACTGGAGTTTTTTATTTTTTACTATGTAATAAAAAAAGTACCAAAAATTTAGAGAAAAAAACTGTTTTTCTCTACGTTATGTTATCAAACAGTTATTATTACCCAAATTTTTGGTAAAATATAAAAGGGGGGTCACGTCGGGTAAATAGACACCAAACATGTCAAATTTTAAAGTTTTGTGCGCCCACGAAACCGCTAAAAACGACCATACCTAAAATTGGCCATAGGTGACGCTTTAAAAGCTGTTACCGCTCATTAGTTTAGTGTTAACAGTGAGTGATGGCCTTAGATTATTGCTCGCACTCCAACGTTCACTGTGATATGCAACGTGTTGTGTTATCGTTGTTTTCGCAGGTAGGCACACCTGACGCGTATTTTATGTTTATATGTGAAATGTGGGTACTTTATCACGAGCAACAGAATTCCGTTGGATGGGATTTACTTATGAAACTAAACCAGGCTGATCTAAGAACTTAAAGTATAGCTAAAGCCAATTTTTATTTTCATTTCTGAGAGACTAGGGAAGAGTTAAAACATCTGTCAGCTTTTTTTTTGCCATCTGTTCAAGAAATTTCCCTTCACTTCCCATCCTGTAGACACAACAGGAAATTAGAGGAAATATCTTTAAGTGCGGCAGTCCTTCACAGTTGTCACAAGTGCCCACATTGGAAGATTTCCTCTTTATTCCTGTTTTGGTGACAACTTTTATTTTCCAATTTTCTCTCACCTTCAGTCCCGGAGACAATGAGAGAAAACGAATAACACAAACAGCTATAAACTCTGACAAGGGATCTTTCCTTTCAACACTCTATCCAAACCAAAAAAAATAAAAAATTCCAATTTAACTCTGCCTACATCATTATATTATTACATTTTATTTGAGCTCTCATTTAAGAAGCCAATTTCCACTGATCCTAAGCTGTAACATAACAGATGGCTACCCAGAGAAGGCCTCAGCATCAATTAACTGCCTGGAATAAGAGGAAATCCCAGTTTAAAGCAGAATATTGTAATAACCCAATCTTGGATGTTAGCAGACCTTGAGGAGCATATTGGCTTCGTTTGGCGGTTTGGGATTAGACAGAATGTTGGATTACTGTCTACAACCCCAAGACTATGGTTGGCTGATTTCAACGGATTTGTGTGTCAAATCTCTTCCAGTATCTACACTATCTGCCAAAATCCAATTCAGTGCATTAATCACACTTCACATCAGTCAATTTCCTTTTTAATTGTTACTAAAACAACTGTTTTAAGTAGGACTGGCTAGCTGCATAGTTCAAATGGGTACCTCTTATAGCACATCAAATACTTTTTATTTCATTCCAAAATGCTAAAAGGCACTGCTGCCTTTACCGAATAAATCAAGAAATAAATCACCAACATAGTTAAAAACAAAACAAAACTAAATAATGCAAAAGCATAAATACAGTGCAGACCGGAAAATTGCAAAAGTGGAAATCATAGGAAATGAAATGCTTACCAAGCTCATTCAACAACAGGGCTGCGAAGAGAACACATAAGAGACAGACACAGGATAAGAAACACAAATGAATAGTGAAAATGGAGAAGATGACCACAGAAAGATCTGTATTGAGCTGGGGAGGCTCAAATTAAAGTCTCAGCAGCCACTATGTGAGAATGCATTCAAGTGGTTTACTTAAATCCACTGACATCACTGAGGCAACCACCCGGCCACTTACGCATGCATATCGGTTTAAGCCACAGAAATAAATCATGTCATTGGTCTTTGGTGAATTAACTGTATCACCCCAAACAATGGTCGATTCCACAAAATGGCTGCTTTACAGGAGTGTGGGAATATTTTTTAATATCTCCTGAGATGTTAATTTTTTTTTCTAAAATGTCAACAATAAGCATGTTGATTGAAAAACTGTACATTTCCTGATAAGGTTTAATGTGATTATTTAAAGTATATGTATATACTGCAGGAAGCATTCTGAAATATAGAAGTCATTTAATAATCCATTTTGAGGGTTTCTGTTACTATGAGGTGTTGAGCACTGTCGCTAGATCTTATTATGATTTGTGGGTTATTTTAGTTATTTTATTGCTTTAACAAATGAATTGCCCTGCTATAATTTCATTTTTGGGCTAAATGTGTTCAATAGTGTAAAACAATCCTGAGCAGATTGGTAAGTCTTATTCTACGGAGTGTAAGTTTTATTCTAAGGAGTGTAGTACTTATGACATGGCCATGAGATGGCAGTGCTGCTTTACATGTCAAACAGCTTGTTTTAATTAAAATGACCAATCATCCACTAATTTACCATTTAACATCTAGTCATGTAACAAGTTTGGCTTAGATTCCAGTTTAATGGTATGTAATTATAATGGCCCTGTGGTAAAGGGTAGATAGGATTTTTTTTTTTAATATGACAGATTGTCTGTGATAGATGCTTCTACCTGCCTGTCAGCACTTTTTCTGTACACTGAGCCGCACATGTGCTGTGGGACACTCCTGTGTGCACGTGCAGGGGTTACCTCATCTGGGCCAATCGTGTGCAGGGGTTACGTCATCTGGGCCAATCAAGATGGCCAAAGACTCCGAAGATGACCTATTAAAGATGGGAAGCGCCACCAGCAGAGGGGAGCCCTGACATAGCTGGAGGGGATCACTTTGCTTGGTAAGCTTGGCCTTGCAGTAGATAAGTCAAGCCAACATAATTTTATTGTCAATGTTTCTACCAAGCTCAGTCCGTCTTTTTTGTGATAAAGATGGGGCTGAGCTCCATTGAAACGACGATAATATTCTGTCACTTTGTGTATATAGTACTAATGTGTATATACACTGAAACGCTGACAATATTCTGTCACTTTGTGTATATAGTACTAATGAGTACCGTATATACATTGAAACCCTGACAATATTCTGTCACTTTGTGCATATAGTACTAATGTGTATAAATATATATACACACACACACACACACACATTTGATTTGTATGTATTACATATATTTGTATTGTATTTCCAGATATTGCTTTCTGCACCCACAAATTATGACAAAGGCTTGCCAAATATAATACACTACATTAGGACATTTTTACAACAATGCTAGGCTCTAATTAAACAACCCTGAAGCCCCATTCCATAAGGTAACATAAACCTCATTAAGTTATCTTAGGGTTCTAATGTAAATGGGCAACCTGGTGTGTTTTATCACATAGCCAAGTTTCTCTTGGCATTCTTTTTGTGAAATCATTGCGATAATTATTATGCATGTTCACTAATTAAGAAGCGTTTGTATCCTACCCAAAAAGCTACAAAACTGTGGATTTCATGCAGAATATGCTAATGGACTAATTCTTCGCTGTAGAGGCATAAACTTTAAGAAGGAGACTTCTTTCCATAATTATATTTTATGTCATGGCATTTGACATATCTATATTAGTCTTAAGTAAAGTAATGACTTGGCCAAATGAAGCTAATGTCCTTGTAAATAATTAAAAACCTGATGGAATAGAAGCTGGATCAGTCTAAAAACCGAAACAAAGGCTGAAAATGTTAATTCAGTGCTGACTTTCAGCTATTTGTGCTTTATATGGTATATGTTATGTAGCTATTGTGCATAATTGTGCAGTATTTGTAAAGGCTCAGTCCACCCAAAATTTGTGCTTTGTCAGATGGATACTACTGGGTTGACAACTTGTTTGTAGCTTATAAAGCTTCCTGAATCCCCCAGTGGTAGAAGCTCCCTTGTTCTCCACCGTGGCCTTTGTGATCTAATGTCAAGCTTTTGGCTCAGCAACTTAAATTCCCAATCTCCGGCCTGACAATATTGCACAAAGCCTGACAGCTTGCAAAATATGTATGGTGATTCAGGTGGAGCCAGGAATTTCATAGAGGACTTCTAATCACTTATGGCACAGGGCACGGTAAGCAGCTTACAGGTTTTTCAACCCGCCATTCTCTGCCCAAGACAGAGCTCTGTTTTGAGAGGACTTGTCTTTTAGAAAGATAATTTTGTGATATGTGTTGTTGGGCAAAGCTGGATTTTTTTCAGAATGCCTCATTTGAAGAGACCCTATAAGGTTAACTAAAACCCAGCTTATAGGTCCCTGCAATAGAAGCGCTCTTATACTCATCTGTCCAGCAGTCCATGTCTCCTACCTCCCCTCTATTCCAGCACTGCAGCCTCCATAGTGTCTTTGGCATTTGACACTTCTGGGGGTGTTGGATGCTGATGTTCCTTCCACATGGCATGGTTTCTTTCTCCTACCCATTTGTCACTGCAGAACTCAGCAGTGATATAGGAGTTGGAGGCTGTAACCATGGCTGGTGGCGGGGAACACAAACATCTGACAATCACAGAGGTGTAGAACACCGATGGAGACTGCAGAGCTAAAATGAGAGGCATGCAGGAGCCATGGACCACTGGAGAAGTGACTATAATTGCTGTTTTATTGCAACGACCTTTCATCTGTAGTTTTAGTTAACCTGACAAGGTTGCTTAATATGTAATTTATAAGGTTCTTATACGTAGTATAGCATTTAACACAAACAAAAAACTCTGAATTTAAAACATGCATATTCATATAATTGTTAAAATCTCGAGCCTACATGCACAATGCCTTTTTATTATTATAAGCCATGATATTAGTAACTTTTAATGTAAGAAACTCCCACAGTTTATGTAATTAATAAAGCGCATGCATATTCTTATTAGTAAATTCTAGTTATTGGCATGTTTATTTATGATGTGAGAGCCACTTCAATCATAATGTATGTGATTGCACGGCGTAGTGGTTTTAAAATGCTTAATTGTTTTTGGTAGGTTGTAGGGTGTGATAAATCTTTAATGTTACCTAGAGCTGACCATATAAAGGCTGTTTGTCAACCATGTAATTACCACATATAGTTAATGAATGATTAAAGGGCAATTTCATCCAAAACTAGAAATCAGTAATGGGTAGATGTTGGAAAACTGAAATATCTGTTTTTTTTCATTTCTCATGGACTCCACCAGCAAGATCTTTGTACCTTTGGTCCCAGGTTTATTAATTTACTATAATCATTAGAAGGAGTCTTAAAATAACTCCAAAAGACCATTGTCTTTGGTCCCCTTCCTCTTAGACTATAAGCTCGTTTGGTCAGGGTTCTCCTCACCTACTGTTTCTGTATGTCAATGATGCTTGTCAGTGTTTCTGACTTGTCTTGTCTAAACAATTGTACAGCGCTGTGGAATATGTTGGCGCTATATAAATAAATTGTAATTTTGGTGTAGTATTTTATCTTATTAGTGGATTTGTCAGTAAAAAAAAAGATTTCTACTTACATCAGAAGGTTGCTTGAAACCATAATGGATCAAAAACCTATATAACAGCTTGTGTTGAATATATCAGCCTCCAGAGACCTTTGATTCCTTTGATAGACAACTATCAGAGGTCTATTTACTAAGCTGCCGAGGGCAGCCGACTGAACAACTGACCCCAAGTGAAGTGAGCCGAACACTGTTCGGCTATTCACTTCAGGCTTGTACGGCTGATTTCAGCCATATATCGGCTGAAATCAGCCGTACATCCGCTTGCTTCGCATGGCTTCGGGTCGGCGGAACATGCTCAGCATGTTCGGCTGACCCGAAGTGCAGAAGGAGATCGACTCAGCCGATCCAACATCTGGATCGGCTGAGCCAAACCTCCGGCAGGCTACTCAATGCTGTTCGGCCTATTCTCATAGATGCCGAACAGCAGTGAGTGAATAGCCGAATGCCGCCGAGCAATCCTGCTCGATACCTCTGTGGTATTCAGCAGAATAGAAAAATTATTTAAAAAGTAGAAACAAAAGAATAGAAAACGATTGGGTAAAACTTTCCAGGGGAAAGTAACTCTCTCTCGGGCGGCCGGGAAAGTTGGGCTATCTGGAGATCAGCGTCCCTGGTTATCTGGTAACCAGGGATGCTGATCTGCCTGTGCAAGCCAGCCGTGATATGACGGCTGGCTCTGCCCAGCAGTGCATAGCAGGCTGTTGGCCGGCCAGCTGCGCCTTTCACCTCGGCTCAGTCGAGCCGATGCATATGCCTTCGGCTCGACTTAGCCGCTCGGTCGACTTCGGGAGCTGTACGGGCTATAGCGAATAGCCCGTACAGCAGCCCTTTGGTTCTATTGAACTGAAGGGGTCCTGGGGGCGAAGCTAGCCGAAGGATCAGCCGAAGCTACGGCTAGATCCGTCGGCAGCTTAGTGAATAGACCCCTCAGTCACCAAACATCATTAATTCTCCCTTTTATAGGGACACTTTGGGGCACCTCAGAATAGAACAGCTGATACATTTTGGATCACAATCAACATTAAAGATTTCCCATTTATAACACAGAGACTGTAGTGTGAGCTGCTGGAGTCTACAAGAAATGTAGGAAACTAATGGGTACCTCATAACCCACTAGTTACCTGCACATACCCAAAACATTATTTTTTAATGCACTGGCTCTTTAAATAAAAGTGTTTAATCTGTAATGGTGGTCCAGCTATAAGGGGAAATTGTTGGAGGACCCTTTTTCTGATAAACTCAACACCATGGCATGGGATTACTAAAAAGCAAAACACTGTCTGTTATTTATAGCATATGGATGGGAAGGCTTTTACATAACATAGACAGTGTATACAAGGTTTACTACTGTGACTTGATTACTTAATATGGGTCTTGTGTAGCATAAGATAGCATCTCTGCAATTATGCAGTTATACGTGACATTTATATAAGTGGGAGGAAAACAGAAAGGGAAATAGGGATGACTATGATGATGTAAAACCACTCTTTATGGTTTGTGACTAATGTATTGTAAGTTGCTTTCGTTTTCCCAGTTAACCCTAGGAATGCTTCTATAATGACCTAACACGTTGTAAAATTCTATCATGGGTCAGTCAGGCTTCCATAGAGAAAGATAAGAGAGTAGTAACAAAGAGCTGGCTAAGCTGTACAGGAAGCGTTGAACAGAGTTCAGATGCTAAGCAAGAGGAGAGAGAGCAAGTTGTGAGAGTTGGGAATTACAAACAGAAGAGGAGCTTGAATTTTTAAGTTGCTTTACTGTTCTTTTTATACTCTCACACCTTTCATTCCTCCTCGTATCCAGATTGGTTCTTCCAGCACAAGGTAGAAATAGGACTCTTTGTCATACTCCTCTCTGTCAAGTATTTTAAGGGTTATGTACTTCCTGTGGGGACACAAGACAAAGGGAAATGGATGTTTGCTGTCACACACATGCTTCAAAGATCATCTAAAGCTTGATGGTTATTATGAGGTTATGAAAAAAGGATTGTGCACACATCCCTTCAAGTACGCCAGAGGGCTATCCACTACATACATATACTGTGACCTAAACAGTTATAGTATGTAGTATAAATACTGTTTGTCTGAAGATCCAATTACAATCTAATGGTAGCATACACAAATCAACTTGAAGACAATCTGGAAAGCTGAATATTTGTTATCTTGACAAGACTAAAGCCCCTTGTTAATGTACGTAAAAGGATGTGTGCATTTGAGTCAATGGTTTGAACAAGCCATCCAAGTTTGCTGAGTCAGACTTAATACTGATGAGAGCTCAGCATGATAGCATATCCCCCACCTTTCTTCTCACTCATCTCCATCAGACGAGGTTCCCCAATCTCAAGGTAGAAGGTCTTGTTTTTCTCATATTCCTCATCATCAATTATTTTCACTGATATGGTTTTGCTGCAAGAAGAGAAGGAAAGATTGAAGAGAAGAAGCATAGAACAAAGCAGAAAGAAAATAACAGGGGCACAAAATGTAGAGTAAGCAGCATCAGGGAAAGGCAAAAGAGCAGGAAATAGAATGTCTAGCAAAGGAATTCCAAAGCAAGACTTAGAACTTAGAAGGCAGCTTAGAACCCAGTCTCTAACTTTCAAATGCATTAATACCTGTGAACTAATATAAAGTAAAACAGAACAATATTATTATCATTATTATTAAAATAAGAATTTGATAGAGTTAAAGTGACTAAAAATAAAATGCATGTCATTTAGTAGCATACAAGGTAAACAATTACATCCTTAATCATAATTAACTCCTTAGTGACACAGCTTCAGAAAATGTTTTCTCTTCTGGGGACCGGAGCAATTTTGCCATTTTTGCTATGTGTTTGTTTAACCATAATTTACATTTTCCTCACGCTTCACACCTACACATACAGGTGAAACTCGAATAATTAGAATATCGTGCAAAGTTCATTTATTTCACTAATGCAACTTAAAAGGTGAAACTAATATATGAGATAGACTCATTACATGCAAAGCAAGATAATTCAAGCCATGATTTGTGATAATTGTGATGATTATGGCTTGCAGCTCATGAAAACCCCAAGAACCCCCAAATCCACAACCTCAAAAAAGTATATTATTACATGCAATCAATAAAACAAGGATTGTACATAGAACAATATCGGACCTCTGAAAAGTACAAGCATGCATATGTACTCAGTACTTGGTTTGGGCCCCTTTTGCAGAACTTACTGCAATTAATTTTGCACGATATTCTAATTATTCGAGTTTCACCTGTATTATATACTGTTTTTAAAGGACAAAATTGTCTTTCATTTGATGTGACATATGCATATATAAATTCTTACTTTTTGATAGAAAAGAAATGAAAAAAACCCCACATTCTTCACAGCTTTGGCAATAATAATGTGTACATAATTAGTGTAGCTAACAGAAAGTAATTCATAATAAATTATTTTATTTGCCCTGATTTATAGGATATATCATTTGTCTGGGATTTTAGTTCATTTTGGGAGTTATAGGTCAAAAAATACAAGGAGTGAAATACATTTGACATTTGAGTGTAACAATTTTTTATTTTTTTTTATAAAAAAACTACAGGGCACTAAGGTTTTTTTTTTTTTTTTCTTAACAAGGGCTTTGGTACTACTCTGAATAGAATACAGTATTTTCCCTACAGCTACTTTGTATCGTTTTTGTAACACAGTCGGCTAGCTGAGCACAGTGAGCACCTGCCATCTGTGTAACTGTCACAGCTCTGCGATGACAGCGATCAGCTCTGTGACCACCTACTCTGTTGTCGAGGGTCTGCCTTGGACCCAGAGGAACCCATTAACAGCAGTAACTCAATGAGCTGCTTCACGGACCAGTGCTTATTGTACCAATTGACGGAATTATCCCGTCGCCAGTCATTATTGAACTGAATGATCGTGACGGGATAATTCCATCATCGGTTGGGAAATGGTTAAGCAATACTTTACACAAAAAAAATATTTATTGATGATGAAACCTTTGAAGGTAGACCAATTAGTATGGGTCAGCTTCTATTTTGAAAAACAAACTGTATGAGTTAAATTTAATTTTAAGCCCAAACATTACTTTAGTTTTTGATAAAGTCGTTTTATTTCTGTGCTCTGTTGGGTACATTTTTTTATTACTTCCTGTCCCAAAGGAACAACAGAAAAGTTTATGGGCCTCCTTATCTTGGTGACAACTGTAACATTTTGGATTTTCCATCACGTTCTGTCCCTGGGACCATGGTCTCCAGGATAAATAAAGAGGGCAAATCTCCCCAGCATGGACACAGACAGCTTCAAAACGTGACAAAGGTTCTTCTAACCCTTCCCAATTCTATCCAAAACTATATAAAACATTTTGGCTTCAATTATACATTAAATAAGAGCTTTACGTTTGTATAAACATATGTAAGAGCCTTGTACCAAAAAACCAGCAAACAATTTGATAGTCTTAAGCTGGCCATACACTGTAATATTTTCTTCATTCAACCCGTGGGCTGAACAAAGAGAATATAAAAGATTCCTCCCTCAACGCTTACGATCGCTTGCCGAGGAGTCTCCCAATGTCTTCATTGTATTCTGACTGATTCTTGATGTGCTTTGTGTAATTCTTCTAGAGCTGCACAATAATACCCCATTAAAGATGGTCTTGTATCAGCCACCCTGTAGTTTTCTGCTGGTAGCCTGTAGTGGGTGGACCAACTGGGTCCCACTCACTCCTTTCTGCACAGGCTATATGCAGCTTGGTGCTGATGTCACTGCTACTTTTAAAAAGGAATATCTGGGTTTGCAAAATGCATTTGGAGCACAGGCACAAGGATTTACATGACTGTGTCATCTCAGAGCCATCATCTCTGTCCAGGAAGTAGATGGTGATCCTGGACTATGCGTGAACAAACTTATCTCTGTCCTCCTGAAGAAAAAAAGCAGATAGAGCCTTTCTGAGAAGGGGGGTGAATGCTATGATCTCTGCTAAAGTAGCAGTGTTACACTAACATGTTAGTTAGCATCCATGCACAGAATATGAAAATATACTATATATCTGATGATGAACCTAAAGCTGTGGGATGCTAAATTGAGTTACAAAAATGGCCGAGGCCTAACTCTACTCAGAAATAGAAAAACATAATCATTCGGCTATGGAAGTCTACCATGTTGTTTTTGTCTGGCAGAGAAATGAAGGAAGACATTACAGCTGGAAGAAGGAAAGAAGCAAATTAACTGGCAGAATTTCACCGGATAACATAAAGCTGGCAAATTAAGGCATTAAAGGAGCTAATTATTTTGTTATTGGCTATTGTGCTGCAAGTATTACGTACTTCAGGCAATGTACCTCCAGCCAATAAACATCCCATCTTACTGTCATTTAAACAGGGAGATAGTGGAGGAAAATAGACTTTTAGTGCTGATTTTGATCCGGTTCTACATACAGTCGTTATAAACCCTTCCTAATTGACAAGATTATGTTCCAATAGCCCTATCAGTTTGAATGTGTAATCAATGTGTTATGATACTTAGAGACTGACTACCCTATGTTTGCCATTTTTGTGATTCTCCAATCAAGGCACTTGGGTAGGCGCATCTATGAGTACTCTTACTGAGGAAATTGCACAGCAGGACTGCCTTCAGCAAGCCAAATTTATATGACATTATGCTTGCTGTTCTGTGTTTCAGAATTAGCATAATTCTACAGTTTCCTTGCCAGTACTTTGCCAAATCACTGTGATGCAGTTCATTGACCTTTATGGTAATATTCCACTAAAAGAAAGAAGTACTTTCCCTTTAAACAATCTGCTAAACTATACTAGAACTATCATCTAAAATCCCAACTGAGCTTTCAGTTTATATCGGCTGAATACATTTTAGGTGCATCAAAACAAAAAGTCTGCAAAGTCTTGACATTTAGTTTCCTTTAGAAAGTGCCACAGCCTGAGTAGAAAAGCCTGTCACCTGCCAGCATGCTGCAGAGCAGGAGCCTTGCTCTCTGTGTGGAAGCAGTAGTCTCTCTGCAGGGGTCCAACACACACCCTGCTAAGTCAGCGCTAGAGCTCCCCAATGAGCAGGGAGCATGAGCTCTGCTGATTGCAGAGCTATAAGTCTGATTCTGCAATGTATCGGACCTTGTCAGAGAGAGCAGTGCTTCCACACACAGGGCAAGGATCCTTCTCTGCCCTCCTGACCCTATTGTACTGAAATTGTATTGTAACTGTACTGTTTCCCTCATTGTGTAAAGCGCTATGCAAACTGTTGGCGCTATATAAATTGTGTATATTCATAATAATCATGCTGGTAGGGGACAGGCTTCTCTACTCCAGCTGTGGCTCCTTTATAATGAATACTAACTGTAAGACTTTGAACACCTTTTGTTTTGATGCACCTAAAATATATTTAACGGATTTAAAGTAATTGGGCTTCATGTCCAGTTCCTGTCTTTGCCCTAGCAGTGGTTTTCTGACAATCTGCTTTTGAAACTAGGATAATTACTTGCAATGGGGAGTTGTTTCAACCATTAGGTCATACATGTTGTTCTTTTGGTGATTATAGTATTTCTGCCTGTATTGCTGTTTTCTCATTTTCTATCTGGTACAACTGTTGTCACCATTAGAGTAAGTAAAGGGAAAGCAATCTAACGCTGGCCATACACTGTTAGAATTTCATTCGAAAATGCATTCAAAATTGTTTTTTCAGAGCATTTGATTACCATCATTAATTTTAAAATCCTTTAAAAATGTATTCCAGACCTGCTACTTGAACGGTATCCCAGATGTATTAAACAGGTTTCTTTTGTGCCTAGCACATGCAGATGAACAAAAATCACATTCACGGTTAGAGTTTCGTTGGTTCAGATAGAATCAAAAATATTTTCCATCTTGCTGCTTCAATGTTCCTTGTCACTACGGTCAAAAATGAACGTTGCTTAGACCCTACTAACTATTAGATAATTGAAAGAATGTTCCGTAAATGTCAATTATATTCTACTGATGTACGGCCAGCTTTACAGAGCTCCGACAGTAATTCTAATCCTTACTCATGAGATCTGAAACTACAAAAAGAATGTGTTGGCTGGGCATACATTTTGACCTTCAATTCAATGGTTACCCATCGTTCTCCATGTCCATCTTCATATTCATCTGCAAACTGATGTGATATCTAACATTGATTTCTTAAACCAAGTTACAATTTACACTATTATTCATTACTCTTTTTATTACTGTGTGAAACTTTGATATCTATAAATCATGCATTCCTTTGTAGGTATAAAAGCAAGTGGCTGCTACAGCTTGTCCTTCATGGTTAAAAAGAATTCATCTGCATTCTGGGCAACAATTTCTGAACTGCCTTTGATGTTCGGCAAACAAAAACAAATGGCTGTCATGAATATGTAAAGTGACTGCCGCTATTTACCTCTGTGACTAAT